GGTGTAGGTGGTGAATATATGCAATAATTTGACATCATTCGAAGGTGTGGAAAACAGGAGTAATCAATATTTTAAAGGGAAAGGTGAAATTAACTTAAATTGGTCTTTTTTCTTTTCTAAGTCTGAAGAATCGAGCACTCAACTACTCAAGCATAGTGAAATTTAGTTATATGTAGTGTCTTCACTTGCTTTTGTAACTACGTATGAATAGTATTACGTATTTGATTTTTGCTTAGATTGAAATCAAAAAGAAATTAAAAGAATTATGTACGAATTGTTCTAAATATTTTTCTAAAAAACATTTATGTCGTCAGACCTAGAACTGAAGTTTTGCCATTTGAAAGGTCGATGTAGTATTGAGGCAATGCCTACAACACTTGATAGAACAGCCCAATCTCCCATTATCATCATACATTTCAGCCCACTACATCGTGCGGCTAGGGGTATTTTCGTTGGTCGGTATGGTACGGTTTTTAGTCATTTCGATTCGGTATTTGATTTCTCAAAATGCTATATCAATATCATAAATAATTATATTCGGTATGGCGCGGCTTTTTTCCGTTCGATTTCGGTTTATTCGGTTTGAATATTAACTAGTGCATAGAGCGATAGGCAGTGATATTCTTAATTAAAATACTCAATGAAGACGTTCTAAGGTCACCTGACTATTGACAAAGGGTGTGTTTGGTATGAAGGAAAACATTTTTCAATTTTCTCATGTTTGGTTGACTTAAATATTTTGGAAAACATTTTCCTTATCAACTCATTTTCCTCCAATTGGAGGAAAATATTTTCCTAATCAAGAGAAGGGAAAACATTTTCCAAAACTCCTTCTCAACATTCTCCACCCTCACCAACCCACCCACCACCCACCACCCCTCTCCAAAAAAGGCTTTTTTTTTAAATTTCAGTTTTTCTGTTACCACCCATCCTACCAATTTTAAATTCTAAATGANCCCCCCCCCGAAACCCCCGTAAAAAAAATATTTTTAAATATACTTTTTCAGTTTTAGTTTTTTTTTAATCGGTTTAAAGGTTCAAAATTTTACAAGTACCAAAGTTATGAGTTCGAAGGTTTATGTATTTGGAAGTTTACGGGTTTAGAAATTATAAAGTTTACGGGTTCGAAATTCAGCGGTTTCGAAAGTTTATGAAATTTGTGGATTCGGAAGGTTGTTGGTTTGAAAGTTTATGGCTTCATGTTTATTATATCTAAATCATTTATGAATACTCTTGAGAAGTCATTTTCCTTAATTTGCGTACCAATCACCGGAAAATAAATAAGATTACTACTTGTTTTCCAAGAAAATATTTTCTTGGAAAATATTTTCCACGGAAAACATTTTCCGTTATACCAAACACACCCAAAATCTTTGTCCAAAGCCATCAAGTATCAACTAAGAGAAAAAGAGGTACATAAAGGAATACATTTGGTCATTAGAAATATCATGATATTTGCTTAGAGTTAATTGTTAAAATTAGTGAATACAACAAGGACTAATCCAACATATGCAGTAACAACACAAGAGTAACCAAACTGCTTGGCAACCTAGAAAGTAAAAAATCAGAACTTGCATTCTACCTTGTTCCTCTATTTTCCTAGAGAAGGACAAGGACTTTACTGTCAATATCAACATGAATACCAAAGAAAAATATTTTGTAACTTAGCATGTTAATCAATAATACGTATAATGTGTAATTTAGTATATTTTCGGTATGGTATCACTATTTCGGTATTATTTTTTTAAATATCAAATATCATACCTAATACTAGATTATTTTAAAAACTTAAACATATATCATACCAAATGTCAAAATACCAAATACCATATACCAAAATTTTCGATTCCGATACAGTAATTCGATATATATGCAGCCTTACCAGCAGCCATAAATGTTCACTATTACACTTCTTACTTCTAGACTCTATCTATTCCTTCACATTACAACAAATAGTTTTTGGTCCATTTGGAGGTCCCGGGCCTTTAGTTAGATTATTCACAAATTTAATTACTCCTACCTATTACCTTAAAATAAAAATTCATTGAAAATAACAAAACTCGCTCTCTTTTTTAGCTTTTCCTTTCTCGGTAATTATAAGCTAAAATCCATGCTTCATTGGATTTGGCTAGGTTTCAATGTTGTTTATTCAGGTTGAATTATGGGCCATGCTCCTCCCAAAAATTGAAATAGGCTACCTAGAACAGATGATTTGCACAAATAAGACACTTGGGTGTCACAATTGATTTTTTAACCCCACTTGACATATGGGCAGAACTTCAAATTAAACAAGTGTTGCCCTAAAGCAAAATAGTAAAAATGGAAAAAAATGATATTGAGAGAAGTCCACAGATGTAGAAGTATTAGACACTTGCACTAAGGTGCCTTAGAAGTTGTACTGTTATTTTAACTTAACCCAAGTTTTTAGATTTTTAGTTAGTTGACCATAGTTAGAAAGTTAGTTAGGTTACTGTATATGACGAATTTTTTTATTTTTCTGTACTCAGTTGAGTTTCTTTTTGATACAAATGAAAGTGAGCTGAGCTCTCAATTCTCTCTCTCTCTCTCTCTCTCTCTATATATATATATATATATATATATATATATATATATATGCTTCGTAGTACAGTTGCTTTCTTCTTCTCATCAGCTCAACATGGTATCAGAGCAGTAATTGAAATGTCCTAGGGATTTCGCTTCCAATAATTGGTAAGGAAATCGAGAGATTCTTCTACGAAGCTCACAGAATTTCTTCGTCAAATCATCAAATTGAAACCCTAATTTGGAGAGATGGTGAATTCCAACGTTGGAACTTCGGTTTCAAGCACGATCGACCACAATAATCCACTTACCTTCAGCCATTAGTTTCGGCAGGTGTAATTCAAACTAGAATTATCCTTACAGGTATGGAGAATTATAGTGATTGGCGCAGAGCAATGAAATTAGCCCTAGAGTGTAAGAACAAATTAGGCTTTATATATGGCTCAGTTCGGAGGGCAGATGTGAATAAAGGACTTAAAAACAATGGGATCAATGTAATGCATTGGTCAGATCGTGGATTATGAGTAACTTGAGCAAGGATTTGCTTAGTAGAGTATTGTTCCACACTGATGCACACGCTGTGTGGGATGATTTGAAAGAGAAGTTTGATAAGGTGAATTTGTCTAGTGTTTATCATCGCCATAAGGAAATTGCAACAATGACACAAGGTGTTTCCTCTGTTTCGATCTACTATTCAAAAAATAAAAGACTTATGGGATGAGGTTGACTCTATTATGCCTATACCTTCTTGTTGTGATAAATCGAAAGATTTTGTAACTCATTTGAGGAGCCAAAGACTATTGCAGTTCCTCATGGGCTTGAATGATGGATACAGTCGGGCTCGAAGACAAATTCTCATGATGTCACCCACACCCTCTGTCAACCAAGCTTATGCGCTAATTGTGCAAAAATCAAAAACTAGTTGCATGTGGAGCTTACAATTCAAATGATCATATGGAGCCAACTGCTCTTTTCACTGTAAGGAATGAATTGCAGAAGCAAAGAAAGCCACCTATGTATTGTGAGTTTTGCAAAATGAAAGGACATACGAAGGATAACTGTCTTTTGTCATATGTAGAGGCACCTCAAAGAGAACTGCTACAAGATCATAGGATATCCTAGTGATTTCAAGGGAAAAAAGAAGGCTAATGCAGTAGGAGGAAACTGGAGTGGTGAAAGCACCATACCTCAGCACACAGGAAACAGACCACAGGCACATGCACCAAACTTTACACAGGAGAAGTATCAACAGATCCTAAATATGCTGAGCAAATCTCCAATGAATTAACACAGTGCAAACATGGGACGACAGCTTTTTGTAGTCAATTAGAAGTCCAATCACTCTGAAATTTCAGGTTGAAAGGACGGTTAAGCTTCCCTAGATTCTAGGCATTTTTATACGGTGAGGAGTCTAATTGAAACGGAACTAGTTCAAACTCAAAAGGATAGGTTTTTTCTGACGTTTTTTAACATAGGTGGGACTCTGCTGATGAATTAAATATTAATATTTCTAATTGTGCAGAGTGTAGAAAACATACCTCGCTATTTAGATGAACCAGGTTCTTCACTAAGAATCCTCTTGATCATGCCTCAATTTGCCAAAATAAAGAAAATTTTGTTAGAGATCAGTGAGTCATATCAACACATGGCACAGGAGTATACTATTTTTAGTATGAAACTGAGCAAAGATTAATCTAGATATTTACACAATTTCAAGATTTCCTAACCAAAAAAATATTTTTTTTCATTGTGCATTCTGAACTGGTTTCATTAGGTGATCTTAATCATCCCTAGTTCTAACCTGTTCCTTTCAAAACTTTCTCTACTCAGTGCTTTTGTAAAGATGTCAGCAATCTGCTTATTAGTAGCACAAAATTCTATAGTGATCGGTCCTTTCTCATAATTGTCCCTTAAGAAATGGTGTCTAACATCTACGTGCTTAGTTCTCTTATGATGAACCGGGTTCTTAGTCATACTAATAGCACTAGTGTTATCATAAAAAATAGGGACGCAACCAACTTTAATACCAAAATCCATCAACTGCTGTTTGATCCACATCCATTGAGCACAACAAGAAGCAGCAAAAACATACTCAACTTCAGCAGTAGATAAGGCCACTGAATTTTGCTTTTTAGTAGCCCATGACACAAGACA